TTTAACAAGGAAGGAGGGACGTTAATAAGCCAATGGACTATTCTAGTGACTTTTTCAGAGTCATCGGCAGTTTAAGTGGCATGCTCTGGCTTTGCAGTCCTTCAGTCCACACACAAACATGAATGAGGCGTTCCGCCCAAATATCACTAACAGTGCAAAGGATCGAAGTCCAAAGTAGGGACTGATTTGTATGGGCTGCCTTTCAGGGAATTGGAGGGTCGTTTGCTGATACCTGACCCTTGTCCGTGTAAATATAAGCAAAGTAAGCCGCAAATTCAAACCGCGAACAGTCTGGATGACCCTAAAAAGCTAACATACAGAGGTGCACTACTCGTGGGAGTGAAAAAGCTCACAAACAAATCCTTACCAGAAACGAAATTCCCGATTAGCTAGCCCACCCTCCATCGGAGTTTACAAGATAAATTACGTCCAAGGAAACAGGAAGGTACAAACTGAATCAGATAGTTTTCGACTCGGCGTGAGCGTGTAAGAGACTCATTTTTTTCTTCAGGCAAGCACACTTCCGACAAGAACTGCGCGTGTTTTAGTAAGTGAGCAGCAGAATGCAAGTGCAAGTGGGGTGGCAGCATGCCTGGCCCCAGACTCACACTACGCCATGCCTATACATCCGCGCTTGTTCCGGCATTCTTGATTCTGTCTTGTTACCAGGCCCAAGTGGATGAGAGAAAGGTAGATTCTGCGCAAGTCTACTATCCTTAATTAATTCACGTGCGACTCACCGTCCCTGCGCATATCATACTGTGGGACACTGTGGACATCGTGGGAAATGATGGTCGAATTCGTATATACAGCAGGAGGTTTTGCATGATTTAACTGGAACTAGGAGATATTTTTGAAAAGGTAATGAAACCATGTCAGACGCTTTAAGAACAGGTACATAACTATATAGGTAGAATTGAGCAAACATAACGAAGGTTGCAAATAAAAAAGTTTTTTACGTATAAAGGGTATGGGCATTTATGGGTAAAATACCCTAGCAACGCACTTTTACAAAGACAACTATCGAAAGACAGTCTTTATTTACTCAGGAACATATTCATCGCAAGCTTTCCTTATGAATGCCTATGAAGAAAATGTGTTTTACATGTAGGCGAATCTACAAATATGACTTAAAATGTCATTCTAAGGATGAAGAACACCATATAGTACATCGCAGGTAAAAATTTTAAGAAACATCTTGTTTGTAAACCGCTGATAAAGGCAAACAATGCAACATATGTAGGCTAACATACGCCCCAAGACAATCAACAAAGTACTTATATTTTATATTTCTCTTCACTTTCGCTTTCAAGGCCCCTACCTTAGCAAACCCTCGTTACATTTGGCCATGGGTAAGTGCTCAGTAGTATACTGGTTTCAGTCCGACAGTATATAACGAAACCAAAACAACGGGACCGTATTGTTTGGAATTATGTTCTCCTATATGTTTTTATTCCCAGGTTGTAACGATTCGTTGCTAACAGACGTGGTGAATCGGACAGATTCTGCGAAGGAAACATTAGGGGCCACATAATAAGGCACAAGGTAACAAAGAAAATAAACAGCACTCCCTCGCAAAAAAACGACTCCTCTATAAAAGGTGCCACTGTATAGTCCTAGGGTAAGATACGGAAGCGCTAAGGAAGATGGGGAGCAAATAAGAGCTCTAGGGCCAACAATACTTACGCCAAGTTCGTCAGCGAGTGCCTGTCCTTCCTCTGGGGATACCACCCGGAGGTGAACAAGATCGATTTTGTTGGCCGCCAGAATCACAGGATAGGAGTCCCGGTCCCGTGCGCGTAGGATCTGCGTGTGAAATCTCCGAACTTGACGGAAACTTTGCGGGTCCGTCACTGAGTACACCACAATAAAACCATGGCCTTTGCGCATGTACTGTTCTCGCATTGCGCTGAATTCGTCCTGTCCCGCAGTATCCAGGACTGAGAGGGGAGAGCAAAATTATACACTAATCCTTACTCATAGGGGAAACAAAACGAAGAAGACAAAATCTGAGAACAATTCAAAACACATACGTAGAGTATATGTTTCTGGTCAACACGCAATTGTGTCACGCTTTAGGCACATAAATCTATGGAAAACACGTACTGCCAAATAATTGCACGGACACAAGTGACAGTTTTAAAGGGCACGTTAATTTTGTTTTGGATCACATTCAAGTCAGTATAAAATGACAACTGACTAAAAATGCACACTAAGAAAACAGCTGGCATCCTTATTTAAGGTAAAAAAGCACGATGGCTTAAATCGAGATGTACGATTTGTCGGGTTGAGGTTATAAACGAAAACTGGCCAGTCAGAAGAAAAGTTATGATGTAGCACAAGGAAACGGCTTCATTGAGGGTGCTGAACATCTTCATAGCAAAAGTAGCCGTTGTGCGCACGAAAATTAACAACATTAAGGAAATGGAGAAAAACAAAATTTAGAGGTTGTTTTGAGTGAGGACTACTGCTTAAAACTTTGACAAATTAGCAGGATTTCTAGATAGACTTTAGCAGTTAGTGGGTGCTAATTTTTATATCAGGGTAGACAACACTGAATTAACTAATTTAGCAGTCAAACGTATTATGCATGTGACCACCTCGGTCAACCGACTACCCAGCACCCTGATCACAGGTAGCCTCAGTATTGGGCCCTTGACTGAGAACAAGCGGAAACGATAGGTTTTAATGGAGGTCGAATAAGCGCAATTACGAGGTTGATCTGACGGACGATTTCATCTTTGCCCCAACTTTCTAGAAGAAAGATGACCTATGTTAGTAGAAGCTGCATACTAACTCAAAACCCTCGCGGCATAAAATGATTAAACAAATATGTTCGGGCACGCGTTCCGAGACAACCGTCTTCGCTAGTTATTTTCAGATCCACTTTGAATGTTTGGATACAAAGTAGCCGGCACAAGCGAGATCAGTAACGTGCGAATCATAAAGTATAGTAACGCCATCTTAGTTTAGTAAAACGAGTTGATATCCACAAGTCAAACTGTTGACAAACGAAGAGACTAAACGATTGCTGCAATGGACGCAACATATTACTGACACGGTGTCCGTACATTTTTATGTTAAGATGAACGGTCGGCAATAAGAGTTCTGATGTCATAAAGAAAAATAATAAACAACAAAATCGAAAAGACTCAAGAATGGGCTGCTAGACGCGGTGGTATTCGGGAATTCGGTGACGCTTTTTTATGAACAGAAGAAAGCCCAAAAGAAGTCCGCAATACTTCTGACCGGCGCAAGGAGACGTAAGCTGTAGCGGTTAAATGAAGCTGAACCGTAATCAGTACGGTCGATACCACGATAGACTTAAAGATAGCTGTCCAACCTCTCGAGGGCAGGCGTAACTTCTATCGACCTTGTTGGCATAACGGCCGATTTCTTGAAACCTGTGTCAGAAACTCGTGGGAATCATCAACTAATGCCACAGGACGACACTCTGAAACTTGTCTACACATAATCTTTATCAAACTGATGGCCATTCCTCGGCGCGACTGCAGCACCAAGGATCTAACAGTTCGACTGCATTTATCGATGATATCCACCGTGTGCGCCACCACTGGGTTAGCGCGCGGACGGTGATTGGTTTTTGAATTATTTTACATTAATAGTATAATTTTGTTGCATCTACCGCACTCTCTTTCTCTCTCCCTCATACACCTACGGCCCCTGACAAGACAGAGTAGAGGTAGCGGAATATCGGATTGGGCGTAATGGCTAACAAAACTAAAAAGCCT